AACAATATAACAATATAACAATATAACAATATAACAATATAACAATATAACAATACAACAATATAACAATATAACAATTTAACAATATAACAATATAGCAATATAACAATGTAACAGTATAATAATATAAAAATCTTCTACATAATTAAAAAATTTAATTAAAAATATTTTGAAAATTTATAAAACGATTAGGGGCAATTCATACTTAAGTACTACGTTAAACTAGCTTAAGATCATATCAATAATCTTTAAGAATCGGTGTAGGGTATCGCTTCAAAAAATCTAAAAAAAAAAAGTAAAGAAAACTATAAAAGAAATTTCACCAAAAATTACAATCTCACACAGACTCACACGCACACAATTTAGCCAACGATACGAAACAAAAAAGCAAGAAAAAAATAAAAGCTAACAGAGCAACAGAATCAGGGACCTGACTCTGACGCTGAATGTTCGGAGCAAATGAAGGTGTCAAAATGACAGGCAGACAGCAGCAGCAACAGCAGAAAAAAAGAAAATAAAAACAGAGCAGGGAAAGAAACGAAGGCCTCGGACAGACACACACACACACACATACACACATGGATAGACGCCTGCCTGGCTGGACGTGCAGTGCAGATGGATGGATGGCTCTGTTGCAGTGGATGGCAGAGCACAGGGTATATATATATATATACATATATGTATATATAGAGGGTATAGCAAAGGGATAGTCTGTCTGCCTGGTTAACTGTATAAACGCCAAAACGACAGCAGCAGCAGCGGCAGCAGCAGCTAACTTGCGCCATCAACAAGGACAACAAAAACAATAACAAAACACAGACTACATAATTGTATCTGTTTCTATGTATCTATACGCTGGACCCCGTGCATTGTGTTGCAGTTACGTGCTCGATGGTCCAGCAAAATGGCGAAATAAAAAGTGAATGAATGGAACCTAAAGCCCTGGCTAAAAACTCACTTTGTGACACCGTTGGCTGAGACGAATGGCAAATGCTCTCAGTGAATGGAAATCAACAGAGATTTCTTAGAGGAAGTTCTACATTTGAAAGATATATTGCTTATAAGCTGATTTTAATAAAATCTATAGAAAATAGAATAGATGATAAAATAGAATTTGGAATATTCTCTGATTAAAATATCATAGTCATATATATGTATATTAAATAATTTTGAAAAAATATGTTGTTAGGGCTTCATATCCAAGACTTAACAGCAACATACAGCAGTTTAAGACTTAACATTTTAAGGCTTAACAGCTTATCCGAAGAGTTTAAGATTAATGTTACATGAATGCCTAACAATTTGATACTTAACAATTGAAGACATTTAGTTAAAAGAAGAAAACACACAAAAATAAATAAATAAACAAATAATAACATCTAGAAACGAACAATTTCCAAATCCACTTTTATATCTCTTCTATATACTTGTCAATAGCTATACAATATATTTAAAGGTTTTTATTGTATATACTTAATTAGCATATGAATTTCTTTTAACAGCGTAAAGTTAAAATAAAAGTAATAAAATTGATGAAATAAATGATTAAATATGTTCACAGGAATTAGAAGCATATAAAAGTATACCTCCCACGATATAAAAAATAAATTAATTAAAATGTATAATAATATAATCGCTTTCTATCAAACTGAGTTTAAAGAAATTAGAAGCATATAAGCATTTCTCTTATATAGTATAAAACATAAATTAAATCCAATGTATAAAAACATAATAATTTTATCTTAAACTGGATTTCCCCTATTCAGAGACTTTTAAAGAATGCTTGCTCGAAATAAATAGAAATTTAATTACAATAATTCAGGTCTATTTCAAGGTTAAAAACAAATAGCACTATTAAATGTTCGAAAAAAAATCATAAACAGTATCATCATTATATCAACTCAAAGGCAACTTGAATACTAAAATCAAGCAATATCGAAACAAAATTGATTATTTCTGTTACCCAACGAACCTTTCAGCCTACCTGTTAAATATTCTATATTCAAAGAAAAAAAAAACTCTCATCAATAAACTCTATAAAATTTTAATAGCCCATAACAGTAAGTTGGTAGCACGAGCTCGATAAATTATGCGCCGTAGTTACATTAAATATTTGGCTAAAATAACCTCAACAGCCCATCAATCTTGTCTGTGTGAGCCACCCTCTGAAAATATAGAGTATATATATGGCCGTCTATAGGGACAGAGGGGCGGCAAAAAAAAAAAAAAAATAAAGCTTAAAGACTTTGGCCAACTACTGACATGATGGCCGAATGCCAAAGCGGATTTAAGTTGTAGCGAAACTTTAAATGAGTTCAAGATTGTAGATTTATCCCAGCCACGCCCACCATTTGTGCGAGGCTGGGCGTGCCCGATGAAGCGTAATGATGATGACTTTGTTAGATTGATTGATGGCTGGCACATAGAGATTGAGCGGAGCAGAGGGCGGACAGGCGTGGCAAGGCACAAATAGACAATTTACAATGTACAATTTACACTTGAAAATTTCCCCCCAAAAAAATAAAGAAGGAAAATGTATATATGTAATATATTTAGAAATGTATTTGAATTTCGCATTACTCATACGCCGCGTTATTAATAAATAGGGCGAAAACGCATCAGCAGATGACAAATTAAATTTTCATATATTCGTTCGGTTTTGTTTGCTGCACTTTTTTATGTCACTCATGAACCGGAAATGCCGCCAAGGTTTCTGTTCGGGCACGAATAATTTCAGCTCAGTCGCAATGGATCAGTGGACGGGCGTGCATCGGGCGTTCATAATACGCGCCTACTATAGAAATAATGATTCCATAAGCACAGCGCAGCGCATGTTCAAGAAACAGTTCAGCATTTATCAGATCCCGCCCACAAATGTGATCAAGAGCTGGCTACGGCACTTCGAGTGCACGGGCTCCTCCCAAGCGGGCGGCTGCACGGCGCGTTCCTCCCTTCCCGTACGATCTTTTATACATATATATATTACAATTATGAGAGTGAAACGAGTATATTAGCTCTGGACAGTGTGTTTTTCGTCCGTCTGTCTGTCTGTATGCATGCAAACTGGAATTATAATATAAACTGTAATATGAAAGTGACGATTTTCCGTCATTCGGCTCGTGAATGAGCATTCTGCAGTCGGTAACGCCCGACTGACACGCACTTACTCTTACTATATACTAATAACATTATCTTCTCTTGCAGCAAATCTTCTGCACCATTTGCAACCAGTGCCTGAGCAATGAGAAGAATTTCGGCAGCTCCATTAAATAGTTTAAGTAGATTTTGAGTATTCAATTCTTTTCTATAGCTTAGTTTACTCTTCTTCTTCAATGTTTTATATAATAAACATGTACTTTTGTTCTATTCTGCTAATTAACAAGTTTGCTGAACATTTTATATCAACACTTTTGACTGCTGCCAGCCTGCCAGGCTGCTTTCTGTGGTGTGGCATATCAAACGCTCGACATTTTCACCCTCTGACGGAGGTTCTCGCACATTTGTCTGTCATGCTTGGCAAAAGAACGTCGCTGCGCTTGGTTTCTCGCGAAATTGAAAGAGATCCCAAATTCTTTTGACTGACAAATGTCTAAATTTTGCAGCACTTTTTTATAGAAATGTATACACAATATTTATATGCTTTATTTGATTGTTAAATATTTTTGTACTTGTATATTACATATTGACCTACAATATTAATAGCACGGAAATATTTACAAAATAAATACATTAATGCACCAACAAATGGTATTTGTTTAATTAATTACATTGTTGTTATATAGGCCAACTGTAAAATGTTTACGAAACAAGTGAGAGTGCTCTAGTCGGGAAATATCAAATATCTTTTCTCTCCTGTACATAGATGGCTGTCAAACAGCACACACACACACATATAAATATACTTATGTATATATGCCTAATCATCTTCTCTCCTTGTGCTGGGCTAATGGTCTTTGCTATGCCAGCCTAATTGCTGAACAACTTTTCTTCTATATGCACTTTCCTAATCAGATTTAGAGTGTGTTAATGACATTTATATGTGTTGGTTTACTGTATTTGTACTAAAAGGTTTAGTAGAGCTGCAAAGCTATCGATGCTATTCGCTGGCTCTTTTCATTGACGGTTTCATAGTACTAAAACGTTTATTTTTTTTTTTATGAATAAAAATATTTTATTATTTCCTTAAAACATAAATAATAAAATTACAAAATAAAAAAGCTTTCCCTTGCTCTTAAAATACTTAAATAGTGACCATAAATTAAATAAGCTAATTTTGTAAAGTTAATTAGGCGACAAAGATGAATAATAATATTGAATACTGCAATTAAAGCTTGGGTTTATATTGTATATGATATTAAAATACATATACATATATTATGCAATATTATGCAACTTATTTCTAGGGTACTCAAAAGCAAATTTATATTAAATCTTTGTATAAGTAGAGTGTGCTCATAATATTTATGATTCATATCAGCCGCATTACTTTATGAAGTGTGACACGCCCCCTTCTGCTTTCTACCTTTTCACAACACCATAATACTCTGGGTCAAGGTATGTTCCAGTTGCTTAGCTGTTCTATGCTCTGCTCCTCCATAACCTTCAGCAACTGCGGTTAAAGTATTTCAACTGCTGCGAACAGTTGCTGAGGTCTAGTTGACTAGGTTCAACTTTCGAGTTTGGTCGAATCATATATTTGAGAAACTACTCAAAATATATTTAGCTAGCAAAACCTAAGCATATTTCCTTAAATCATATAAAGTATAATATCAAAACATCTTCAGAAAAAGAAAGGTTCTAAGATAAGTGAATAATATTATTCGTGAGTGCCCATACTCAATCAATTTGTGCCATTCAATATTCCCATTGACTCCTTTCAGATAACATTTGAAATTCCTTGGAGGTGCAAGTAATTAGAATGTTACCATGGCAACGTCTGCGTCTTCGTCCCAAATATTGGTTCTATTTCCTATACAATGATCCATCCTTCGGAGAGTTCATGAAGTGTAGTGCATTCTTTGTTTTGGGAATATGTGTGCTGAGACGTCTAGGAAAGGACTTTCCAAATCTGTCGGTCCAGTTTGAAAAGTTACTGCAGTCCTAAATGAAGTCGTAGGCGAAATGGCATTAGAACTGCATCAAGTTTATCTTTTTCCCTTAATTTGGCATTGCAAATTGTGTGAAACAATTAAGTAGTATATTCGTAAATAAATTTTTTTTTTAATGAAACATTTTTACAGAGACTTTCATAATGTACGGCTTGCGTTTGTTGCAATGGAAATATGGGTAAGATATGTGATCTATTCGTATACATACATTCTAAAAGCTTAGACATATGTGATCTCTTGGTTAAGCTTGTTAGAAACGAACATTTGGCATTATATGCTCGATTGGCTCTTTAGAGCTTGTTAGATGCAGTTTCTTTAGCAACAATTAGAGGATGGAAGGCTCGTATTGGGCGAAATAATCAACAATTGACTCTCAACTCATTCAAATAAAGTTTATAAGAAATTGGCTTTTTATTTAAAAAGTAATATACTTTCTTTGTGATATTTCTTGGTCTTATCCGTCCATCCATTGTATATTGCTGACAGTGGATCGTGTATAGAAGATAGAGCATATTGTGCGCTCATTAAGATAATCTTGTACATTAAGAATTTCAAAATTGAGTATACAAGTTATTGCAGATCTCTTTAACTTTACTTTACAACTCTTTACCTACACATTATATATACAGTCGAAAATCGATAATTTGTGCCCCGATAACTCAAAAATCACTAAATATCACAAATTCTTCTCCCTCGAAACATTGTTGGGACTCGACTAAAATATTTATATGCAGTGAGAAATCAATATATCTTTAAAAATGGACTAGTTAAATTACTGTCGAACGCTTCTGCATCCTTATGAAAACATTCATTCATGAAAACATTTTGAATCGCGAAAGTCTATTATGCGTTCGATAGCACCCAACTTTAACATTTCTGGTACACATATCTTATTTGAATTCCATTAAACATAATTTATGCTTATAATTTTACCTATAATGTCAAAGCATATTTCTCAAGAGCCTCCTCCAGCCTGGCTTTTCCTTTCAGTGGCGAGTTAATCAAAGCAAATCAAAAGTCCAAGAGCTTATGGCATTTGCAAGCTTTTTCATTTATGGCATCAGCTAGCTGACATCTACGCCCATTCTGGGGCTGGGGGCGCTGTCAATTTGAAGTCAGCTAAAACTCATATTAGCTTTGGCCATCAGCAAATGCCTCACATAACTTACGCGCTCCCCCGCTCCTGCCCGTCCTTTGTTGGTGCCTTAAAAAAAAATAAAATAAAAATGTCCACTTCAAGGCGATGTCAGCCAGCTGTCAGCATGTCATATCAAAGGAAAGATATATGTATGTGTGTATGTATATGTATGTACATATGTTTTCCTTACGAGTAGCCTCACGGTTATTAACGGTTAAGTATTATGCTTACAGATTACAATCGGAAAACGCGCATAAGGCTTTAAGATACAGCATTAGTTTGAGTTACATATACATACGTACGTACATTAGATATATGAGCGGGGCACATAAAATTAGGTGCCTCCTGCCCGCATTCCATCCAGTCACCTGCTACGGCAGACATAAAAAACCTCCCAGGAGTTGGTTGGGTGGCGCGGGAAAGCGAGGGGCGGCGGGGTGGGGGTGGGAAGGATGCCGGAAAGCAACGTCAACGGCACAGCCAACGGTTCTTGCTATCATAATTTCGAAATGACAGGTAATTTGGGCCACAACAACAGGCGGGTGGGCGTGGTCGTCGACGTGGGCTTTGGCATGCCGGGCAGGAAGACCCGAGATGAAGTGCGAGCGCCAAATGGGAAAATGATGCGAGTTTATTAAGTACCGTTACTCAAAGTGTGTACCGAAAATCCTCACAAGAATTTATGATGCGCAATTTTCCAAAAAAAAAAAAGAGAGAAAACGAAAACTCACAAATTTATATTGTAAATATATGAAAAGGTGCAGACGTGGTGGGCGCGAGCTTTGTGCTATCTGTGCTATCTCTAAATGATATAAGCACACGAACATGCAACTAATGAGTGGAGCTTGTGGAGCTCGAATTGCGCCACCCGCACCACCAGCACCTGTCCCATTCAATCAGAGCACTAGCTGTAGCTGCTGCCATAAACTCAATTCAGATGCTCGGCGCTTGTCTTAGCTTTAAATTTCAATTGAAATTTAGAGCGCAGCTACGTGTAGTTGGCTCATAAAAGTTCAAATTCTTTCGACTAGTGCCTGGGAGTTCAACTGTCCTTAAATGCCTTTCTTTTATGGCCCAGAACGTTGTGCCATGGCAGAGCGGAAAGTAAATCAAGTTTAATTTGAAATAAAGCTGTCACCGAGTTGTCAATGCATTAATCAATGCCTAAATAGAAAGGCTGCTCTGTGCGGGCTTATTTCAAGAATTTTAATTTGTTTTTCGTTGTGCCTAGAGCGGGGTGAAGGAGCCATTGATGAGTTTTCGTAAAACTATAGGAAATGAAGAAAAATACACTATATTCATATTATGTATGCAGAATAAATAAAATCCACAGGGGATTATCCTTCCCAATAAATACACTCTGTAAACACTATTGAGAACTAAATAATAAAAAAAAAAAAATAATAATAATAAAGGAAATTTTCGGCTATGTATAGCTGTGGAATACTCTTCTAATGAATCTATTGAACTTAAATATTCAATTACATATTTTTTGTATACAAAATATAAATTTATTTATATAACTTATATATATATATATTTTTTTTTTTTGGTTCTATTATTTTTATTATTTTATTTTTTCCAAAAATAATCCATCATAAAGTCTTACTTTAAAATATATAATAATATTTAATAAAATATATAAATGAATTTTAATTAACCTTTCAATGTTTTCCTTAAATTTCTGCATAGAGTTTATAATCAATTGTTACATGTTTTACTTAAATTTATATTTATATATTTTACTTATATTTATATTTATAAATTTTAGTGTATCTCATTTATTTATTTATTTTTTAAATTTTACACTTATTTGTTATTTATTATATTAATTAAATACATTTTTGTTTCATATTTATTTTATATATATTCAGTATTTGTAATTTATAGGATTGTATATTATTTTTATTTTATAAATATTTCGGTATTTAATATTTAATTCTTGTTTTTTTTTTGGCATTTATGTTAATATGATTTAGATAGTTAATTTTTAGTTTTATGTCGAAAAAGAACTTTTAAAACTGTCTTTATGACTGAAACGAAGAACGCTTAAATTCTGTAACATTTTATTTATTTCACAGTTTAATTTTATTATACTTGTATGTATTTGCTCTGCAGTCTGAATTTTCCTTGCTTAAGCATATTTTCGCCTTTAATTGTGTTTCAACATTCGCACAGTCGGCTTTTGCATAAGTACATATATATATTATAAATATAATCCCTTGATAACCCGCTCGCATAAATCATTACGAGAAACCTTGTAGGATATTTTCTGCATTTAACGATTCACTGTTAAAAATGCTTCCCTATTGATGCCAAAATATTTATTGTAAGATATTTTTTCATAATGTGGGATTATCTGGGCACATGTCTTGCCACGATTTATGTGTGTCAAGAATCAAGCACACACACACACAACACACCAAACGAAGAAGAAGAAGAAGAAGATAGCAGGAAGTGCCAGCTTTAAGCTCTTAGGAAATTGAATTCTTAAGCTTTATTGTTTTACTGGCCTCCGCCCCTGGCTGCCATGTTGTAGGCCGAAAAAGGAGCGCATGCAAAGCAAGGACTTGCTCGGCGAGAACATGGAAGTGAATAAAACTGCAGCAAAAGCAATTTTCATAAATATTTAATGGATAACGGCGGAAAAAATAAGCACAGAACGGGACCGAGCAACACTGAAGCGGGACAGACGACATCAGAACAGAGATGCAGATGTCCTGACTTGTCTCTGTCCTTTCCGTGTATTGTAATGTATCGCATAGATATATGAGCTGCACAGATGTCACACACACACACACACACACACTTATCCATATATATGCTATATATCAGCTTTGTGTATGCTCATATACTATATATAAATCTCGGCTTTTAGTTGGTATCATTAAACGGGATTTCATGCTGCCTCCGCCCAGGCTGGCCAAAGTCCTTCAAGGGAAGGCCATTACAGCCGGCAAAAATCATAACAATAAAAGCGAGACACCCAGCCAGGGGAGTACTGCATGCGATTCGAGGGAGGGGCGTGACAGTTGGGGGCTGGTAGCTGCTCTTACTTAATCGATGATGATGAATAATTGATTCGTGCGAAGCGCCCAAGCATGGAAATGAAAATGTCGGTTGGCTGGTAGATTGTTCTGCCTCCCGCCTCGCCATTCTCTCCCTCTCTCTCTCTCTCTCTCTCTCGCTCTTATATATCTATCTGTGTGTAAGTGTGTGTGTAAGAGTGTGTAACGAGTGGCAAATTTCAGGAAACGGAAATGGCAATTGCAGGCAACGCAAATGTGAAGTTGTGCGCTAAATGAAATGCCAACACAGCAACACGGCAAGAAACACGGAAACAGAAATGTGGACAGCAAATTTACAGCAACAAAGCCAAAAGAGCTGAGACCAGCTCAAGAGGCGAGACGGAGAGAGTGAGGAAAAGCTGCCAGAGCTCCGGCAAAAGAAAACGAAACGCCAAGTTACACAATTCTCTCGGTATTTAAATTTGATTCTCAAGCTCTCTATTTAAATGGTTTTTTGAGAGTGAGAGGCAAATGCGAAGCACAAAGGTAAATACAGCCAAAACTTTTTAGATCAACGGCAGGCGAAAGAGTAAGCATGGTAAATACCTAAGCCAAGCAGCTAAAGCTAAAATTACAAACTGATTGTTAAGTGTATAATATTTAATGAGATTTCTATATAAGAAGTGAATCGTTTAACTGTTGAATTGCTTTGCAGGCAAGTATAAAAAGGTTCAAGCTGTCTACTTAGAAATTCTTAATTGAATGTCTGACATTTTTAAACGTATTTAAAAGTCTATTCCCTGAAAACCTGAAAAAAATGTTTATATCTTTAGATGAGTTTATCAATTTTCGAAAAAAAAATTCCTTTTGGCTGATTTGAATAGGTTTGAGTGTATCAAATTTAATTTTTATTCAAATTGTATGATTGTAAAGAGTTTATACTATGAACCCATTGAAAATGAGAGATCAGGTTATAATGATTTTGTTTATTCTAATATTTAAAGCAATTATTTTTATTCTATTTTAAATATTTAAAAAATTGTTGAACGAATTTAAAAATGGTAAACATTTACAGATATGTTGACAGCGTCGTTAGTCTCACTGAAACTTTGATATTATGAACTGAACTCAATAGAAAATTTATCGTACTATAGATTGAATAAATTATAAAATATTAAACATGAATAAAAAACGTGAAGGATGAGATTTTCCGATGTGGCGCAGTGAATTTTATATATATTGAAGAATTTTGCTATTTATGAGTTAAAGTTCATATTCTATTTAATCTATTTAAATTTCAATAAGATGTAAGTTGCTTTGATGACTTTTCTCTATTAAATATTATTGATTCCTATATTTTATCCAGTAAAGCCAACAATTGCAATTTCATATTACTAAAACATTTGATAAAACACTTGCTTCACTTTGTCCCTTTATATATATTATAATATTGTGAATGTAATTTGCTCTCATAAAATTCGAATACATGGCCCGACAGCTAAATATTTTCCGTGCATATCTCATAAGTGTCTCAAGTGGAAGTTTACAGGGAATTTCTGACAATTTCTGGAATTTCTTAGCCAATTCGAATCCCGCTCATATTCAGCATTGTAATGTGCGCTGGGGCACAATACAGTTAGCAACTAAGTGCCACATAATATGCAATTAATTTGTGATGCAGAACACACACGTACACGCACACACGTATACACACACATGCACACACATACACAGTGTAATGCAACGAGCAATGCACAATGTAAACAAGAACAATGCAATTTGTGTGAGGCAAATGGCAGCCAGGAGCAGTTGACTCTGTCCGCTGAGCGCGCTGAGCATGGGTCAGCCCAAAGTGCAACTGCAAGAGAGTGCAGCAGCAAGATAGATGGTGGCATAGATATGCCGGAGCGTTGTTAATAATAAGCATTTCGCTTTAACGGGACATTGGGGGCAAATCTGGCATGCAACTTTTGTGTGTGCGTGTTGGCTGCTGCTGCTGCTGCTTCTGCTGCTGCTGATGTTGCTGCTGATTGCGGCTGTTGCTGTCTCCATTGTGGAAAGGACAACGACAACACTGCCAGCAACTGTCGCTCGTTCGGTTTGAATCAACTCGACTCGACTCGACTCGACTCGTCTCTCAAAATAAATTGCAATTTTATCGCGAATAATTCAATTAAATGATTTGGTTTTTGCTTTCGCTGACGCTGACGAACGGCGAACGACGAACGACGATTCGTCTGCATTTTCTTTCGCTTTTTACGCATTTTCCCTTTTAATTTCCCTGCTCGCTCTCGCTGTTCTTCTTTTTTTCTGGCTGCGCTTTTTGGTGATTTATTGTGCATTCACATTGTCTGCTCTATTGTGTCTTCTGATAGCTAAAAATATATATGCGACTGCATATTTAAATCATTGGACTTGCAACTAGCTCGCCTGGTCGCAGTTCCTATGTCGTGCTATTGCTATCCCTCTCATCGTCTCTCTCCTTCTCTCTATGTCTTGCTCGCTTTCTGTTCAGCTGGCGCCGCAACAGAAATTAGATTTAAATATTTTGGCATTTTCCATCAATTTTCATATAACGCTTACTCAGTTGTCAATTCGTTGCATGTGAACCTTTTGTTGCATGCAAGAATGCGGCATGCTGATAGCTCCAGCCGTGCAGCATCCCGAAATGCCAGTGGCAAGGGCTTACTGGCTCCACCAGTGGCAACTGCAGACAGAGCCAATCCATTTGGCCCCAACCTATGCCCCAGCTAGCCGACAGCCACCCACACACATTCTCAATCATTTATGCAGCAATCAGTGCCAGCTTCTTTTCCACACGTACGATTACTTACTTTGCCATACCCTCTATGGAGCAAGCAGAGCTTAATCGAAAATGTGTTTTAGTAATGACAAAACGATATGCACAGAGCGCATTGAAGGTTTTACTTTAATACGAACCAAGTGCATTCGTAATATTTTTAGATAAACTAGATCTAAGACTTAACTGGCAAGAAAACAATATCAATAACAACAAATATTTGCATTATTGCAAAAAACTTGTTTAAAATAAATTATTTATATAGACTGGTTTTATAACATATGTATTTAATATCATTATCATTATTTTCTATGTTATATACATATATTGTTTTATTATATTTATTACTTATTCTAAGATTTATTTTATATATGTTATATATAAAGTTTATGTATTATTATATATCTAAATACAATATATTTATATGAAAATTTGGAAGTTTTACTGCTTAAAAAAGCGTTAACACATCATATTCACATCATGACAATTCTGCTTAAACGATTTTTAATTTCTTCAATTTATGTACCTTCGGCATTCACACATTTATACATTTTAGACACACACACACGCTTACACACACACTCACGCATATACAATTTAGCACACAGTTTGCCTTTAGCTAAAATGCGCAGAGAATGCAATTCTGTGATCAAACCAAAATCAAATTAAGTCAACTGCATAAATTGACTTTTTGGACATGCCAGGGTTGAACTGTGTCAAAATGCTTTTATATGTACAATATATATATAATACAGCGTTATAATCTGCATACATATGCATCATATATGTATACAACATTCGTCAAATGTATTTACACAATCTAGAATTTACGTAGTGCCAAACATTACGTTAAAGAAATAATACAGACAAATTTGAAATTTTATTTAAATTTTTAGCCACATTTTATAGTCATTTATTAAATATTTTATAAAAATTTGTTAGCTCTGAATACTCAACTATTTTCTTAAAATCTGAAAAATTATATTAATTAAATATTTGGCTGAGTAAAATATTTAAAGAAGTATAAACACTTGTTAATTATTTATATATATTATAATATATTAAAATATTTTTAGTAGACCATTTTTTTTTATTTTTATTTTTATATACGTACATAATAAAATTGAATAAATGACTGCTCAATAACTAATAAATCTCATAGATAGATTTATCATCGAAAAATATGCATGAATATTTTTTATTTGTTTTAGTGTTTAATTTTATCTGGAGATAAATTGAAATATCAAATGGAAAAGAGAATTACCGAGGCTTATATATCCTAACAATAGTAGGTGATGTGATACAAAATTTTTTAGTTTTATAAAACAATTTGTAGGGTAGATAGGCAAGCTTTAAAATTTATCTTAGTTTTTCAATATGGAAATTAAAGTTGAATATCTATCTATATCTCTTAAATACGCCTTACAATCTGTGTGCAATGTAAAGTATCCTTTGGCAGGGAATTAGCATTTTCGTTGAGCGCTTTTCAATCAACACTGAAAAAGATAAACAAAAATTGTAGGTTTCATGTGTGTGTCAATTGGAATGCTTGAAATCGTTAATTAAATAGTGGACAGAATACTAAATATGCAGGATTTCAAAAACACGAATTTCGTGGAAAACTGTCAAAAAGGCAGTATTATGCCAAATAAATTGAATATAAATATCTATTGACAATGGCTAAAATATATTGCATACTTTTTGGCGGAAGGAAAAAAAAAAACAAATGTGCCGCAATTCAAATTTAAAATATATATAAAATTTTAAAGCGTTTCCATTCCTTTTCTTGATTATATTTTATAATAATAATAATTGAATAAATTATTTTGAAATATTGAAACAAAACATAAATTTCTGTATGCACAAGGTAGGCCTTAGTCCTATAAGTATTAGAGAAAAAGTGTATTCATAGAGAAATATTTGTCATAAAATAACCAATTGAATTATTCATATACCTATATATAAAAAACATATTTTATTTAAAATGGGTACCGTAAATCTGGAGATGCCGGAGCTGATCTCGTTGAGTGGTCGCACCAATCACTTGGCATTGCCCGACGTAAAGCGCATTACGGACATCCGCAAGTTCATGAGCGAATCAAAGAATACAAGTATTGAGAAACTAACGGAATTTATAGCAAACCAAGAGAAACAGTGCCTGGATATTACGAAGCTGTTAAAGGAGCAGGTCCAATTGAAGATGGATGCACTGCGTCAGGTGAAGGAGGATATGCTAGATCTACAGCGTCAGCTGAAAGCCCCAGATGCCGCTCAACGCTTCACCAGAGGCCACAAGGTGCTGGTCAAGTTCTTCGATGAGACGGAAATGAATGAGTACGAAGTACCCGATGCCCTGGCACGCTACAGCCTGAAGATGAGTGGCCTCTATGGCGAAATCCTAGCACTCGATAGTGATGTCGACTACGTGGGCTACTTGGCGAGCATTGCCAAGGTGAATAAGGAGTATGTCGAGGATTGGTATAAGCGCGATAAAGCCAACAAGGGAAAGTTGGCAATCGTTAAGCCGAAAACATTGTGAAATATATACACCTATATGCATGTATATATTAATATGTTGTATGTTAATTTTAAATGTTTGTAACAGTTTCGATCATATGCAACAGTTGTATTATATGAGGGCCGAACGGGTACCATATATACGGGTTGTACACAAAATTGCAAATTATAAAAAATAAATGATTATATGTGTGAACAATTCACTTTTTGTACTATATCTTACAAGTGATGATTCCATAATAAAGTTGATATATTAGCATAATGTAGAAGAGAGAATAATCTAAAATCAATCAAGATTTGTTGGATAAGAATATAGCTTGGACTTACGCTTTAAAACAAGTAAATGCTTGTTTCTTATTAATTTTCAGCTTAAGATTTTCTGCTGCTCGTTTCTCATACAATTTTATTACTATTATTATAAATTTTGTATTTTTTCTAACTTTTTCTTTTCTTTTCTTATTATTCTTTATCTTCGATATTCTGCCAGTCTTTATGTTAAATTTTCATAAATAAAATTATGGTTATTCTCTATTATTTAACTAAACTGATATTTTTACTATTGTCTCTTAGAGAAATAAAACGCGTAATTCATTACTTGCTAGTTAGACTTTTCATCTATTTTAATTCGATATTTTTATTCAAGGGAAAAATTCATTTCGACCAATATGCATCAATTTATCTTTATTACTCAGAACTTCTTATCATAAGCTAATATTTCAATTCAATATTTAATAAACTTCTACTACCGTAATTTTCCGATAGATATTTCATAGCATAGTGCTTTACAGCATTTTTTCACATTTTCCAACACTGTATTCGGTATTCAGTTGCCCAGCGCCTTTGCTTGGCTTCTCGATTTGCATGCTCCATTCATGAATAATCCGTGTGACACTTGCGTTTTATGGCTCTGCATAGTTGGTTGTTGTTATTATTCTTCTTGTTATTGTTGTGGTGGTGAATCAGAACTAACTGCAGTTAGAAGAGAACAGCAACAGCCAAGAAGAAGTTGCCCAACAGGTGGCGTTGCCAGGCAATTTTTCATGCTGAATGTCGGTGCTGATAGCGCACTGTAATTATTATGCTGGACTCTTGCAGCGCATGCATAAGTAAACGAAAGGGGCCAGACGCCACGAGGTGGAGGAGTACGAGGAGAGAGCAAAAGAGAGAACGAGCCAGAGGTTTATGGATTGTAAATGGCTATGGAAATGGGTTTCAAGTAGTTGCTGCTGCTGTTGAAACGCATAAACGCCTCCAGGTATGCAAATGGATAAATACATTTAGATGCAAACTTAAACAACAAGAGGCAAAGGTAAATTCGAAGAGCCGAACAAAATATACCCTGTATAGCGAGATGATAGAGGAAGACAAAAAAATTGATTTGCTATTTATTTATTTGATTTAATAAATATTTAATAATTAATAATCAGATTATTTTATACATGTATAAATTATTATGCAATATATCCCATCATATCAAGTAGAAATTCGTATTTGTTTTCATATTTTTTACAAAAAATGAAAACTTATTATAATTTTGTTGCAAACATTGAAAGCGGAATAAAGCTCGCAATCAAAATGGTTTACCAAATGGCGGCCATGTTTGTGCACAACAGCAAAATGGCGTCCGACATCCGTTAAAGCGCCCAGCTACCTAATGCCAACTGCTGAGCGAGCTCCACTTCTCCTTTCTCTCCTTCTCTCTCTCCCTCTCTCTCTCCCTCAACAGCACTTCCGCAACACTTTCACTGTAGTTTCTCCTCCTCCCACTTGTTGTTGTTGTTGGGTGTCTGCTACAATTCCGCTTGGCAAAAGTTTGTCCAGCTTTGTTGCTGTTGTTGTTGTTGTTGTTGTTGGGCTCAGCTTCCGTTGTCGCCAGGCTGCTCAACTGCAACTTCCTGTCCACTCACCAACACTCACCAACACCAGCCAACTCTTTTCAGTCCTCATTGGTGCTGCTTGGCCAACTGGCTTATTTAGCTTTGGTTTAATTTGACAAAACAGCGTATTTAAGCGCTTTGTAATTTACGTAGTTGTTGTTGTTGCTCCTGCTGGTGCTGCTATGGCCGAAAGGTCAAAGGATACCGTGAATAATGCAGCAAACAACAGCAACAACAACAACAATGTTGCACGGTTTCGCCGAGTGCCGCTTACAGTTGCTAATTGAGTTGCGATGCTGTGCAGGTTGTCTAATGTAGGTAATTAGTGTTGCAAGCGGCCAAAAAAAAAAAAAAACAACAAAAATAACGGCAAGAAAATTGAAGTTGGCCAAGACAACAGCTGCAGCGCCAGCAGATGCAACAGCAGCAACAACAACAACAACTTGAACTGTCACAGCAGCAGCTGCTGTCAATTTGCATAATCAGGTGCCTTGGCAGCGACAACTTTGTATCTTTTTGAAGGATTACGAGTATTTCGTACTTTTCGGACTACTAGATTAACAGCGAGACGAAGAAGTAGTGGAAGACAAGAGGGACAACAAGATAACAATTTCATAGCGAAAAGTAAATGAGATTTGCATGCTTAAAATTTTACATGTAATGTAACCAGAGCAAAAAGCTTAAAAAGCCGTGAAATATGAAGCAAAGAAAACTCAGTGAAGCTAAAGCATCATTACAGACCTGATCATGAAAATAATAGTGAGGTTGCTGAGTATGAAATTTCTAAGAATTGTCCGTCTACCCAAAAAAAAAGAAAACGGAAAACGTAAGAAAACTTTATGAACGTGTCAGACTCTGTCACAGAAACAAACGCTGGGGACTTAGCAACCCATTAAAAATCCCGGATCATTTCATTTGAGTATTGGCTAAAAGAAGTTACGAAAAGACAGCTCTAAGTTTATACTTTAAATTTATACTCATTGTCAATATGATGTCTAGTTTTAGAGCTTATCATCCAATACCCTAGACAATTCTAAACACGATTTCAGTAAAAATGCAGTTCCTAAATTTATATAATTTAATTTCAGTTTAACTTTATAAACAAATTTTTATTCATAGCAATTTTATTCATAGCAATTTTATAAGAACTCTCAATTTACATATAAAATTTATTAATTATTATTTTTTTTAGTAGAATGAAGACATTAAGCAATGCTTTACTAACCGATAAATTATTTGTTTTAGAATCTGATGAAGGAAAACTCTAGAATGAATCTTAAATTACTTTCATAGGAAAATGCTTTGATTGGGTATTTCGCTTATAGTTATCTGTTTTTATATTTTTTTTGTAATAATAATGAAAAATATGAAATATTATTATATATATATTTTATTGTACTATTTTTTTTTTTTTTTTTTTTTTTTTTTTTTTTT